TCTTACTTTTACCTACTTCTACTTACTTCTACCTATTTATACAGGTAATTATTGGCTTACATGTGTATGTCCATGAGAATCAATCACTACTAGGAAGACTTTTGTATGTTGTAATTTTGAGGCTTGTTATTGATTTTGAACTAAGCATATATCTATAAATATTGTAAGAATTGAAAATCTGTCATATTGATCTATCTATAATCCTTATGGACAACTAAAGTTGTATCAAATTTATAAATAATAAAATATTAAATTTATAAATTAAACATATAGATATTAATTTTTAATTTATTTTTTAAAAAAAATATGGCTAAGAACATATTAGTTGATTATATATCCATATTTGAGCAATACGATCATATTTTGAGTAAATCTCAAAATTTATCAACTATTACATATGAGAAGCAATAAACATCCTATTAAAACCAAAATTCAAATAAAGTATTATCTACATTTCTTTCTTTAAATAATTCTTATCTAATTTATAATTCTTGAAGTAATTAAATTTAGAAAATTTAAATCTATCCATTTGTATTTAGTACTCACTCTATAATTTATAGATTTCAAGACAAATCCTTACTTGAACTAGATAGAACTTATCAATTCCTACTCTAGTACAAATAAATTTGTTTATTTTAAAATTTGATTGATATTGTACTAATTCAAAGGGAGCATCTCATACAACTTTACTTCTTAATGAAGATTAGAATAGATATTCCATTAATCCTACAACCAAAAAAAAAAAAAAATTGATCTAATTTGATGAAATTCTATCACAATCAACTAAAATCTTAGCAAAACTAGTTTATACTACAATGATATTAGTACAACGTTGCCAATAAATTATAAAAAAAAATTAAAAAAAGATGTTGAGTAGATTCTTATAATATATTTTTTATCAAATTCTTGCTATAATTAATCCATTACTACCAACTTTTAAGAACAAAACAAAAGAATTTTGGTACAAAAAAAAATGTTGAAGTAAATGCTCCAAAATACTTTACTAATAGCTACAATGACATCATCTTGAGAATATCATCTAAAGATCATAATATAATCTATAGATGAATAAATCACAAAATTTTGAAGTAATAGGCAAAGACATTTGATTCTTCAAGCCTTATAACTATAGGATTTACATGTACTTAAGTAACACAAAATTATTCAATAAAACATATGAGATTGATTCTTTAATAAAAAATTACTTTAACAAAGAAAAAAAACTACTTACTCTTCAAATATAATAGTTTTTTTTTAATATTTCATATGTTTAGTGCCTTTAATTATTAATGAATCATAATATTTATATTTTTATGTTTTTCTATATTACTTCTTTTTTGTAGTTGTAGTCACTTAAAACTCTCATTTCTTGAATTTAAACAATGTAAATTCTAAGGCCATGAAAAACAAAATTTATTATATATAATATTTTGGTAAGGCTCTATAGTCATTAGAAATATGGTGGTAATCATCTTGAATATCTTATATGAGTTTTAATGAATTTGTTATACTAGTAAGTTATTTGATTCATATTATTACATTATCCAATATTATCTAATACTCCTTAATAAAAAATACTTGATAAAGTTGCATGAATCTTAAAATAAAGCCAAATAAATAAATAAATAAAACTTTTTAAAATATTATTTATATAAAAATTAAATAAATTATATATATATACATATATATATATATATATATATATATATATATATTATTTTTAGAATTTTATGCTAAAATAAGTGAGACGTGATTCTATAAAGTTTTAAAAACCATTAAGACATTAAGTGCTTTTTGGCATTAAAATAAATAAAAATTTTGTTTATTGTTTACAAAATCCATTCTCTTATTATTAAAAAATATATATTTTGATTTGTAAAATTTTACATGTAAATATATTTTTATACAAAACACAAATAAATAATAATATTTCATTGAGAGAAAAATATTTTTATCTTTGAAAAAATATAATCACATAAAAATCTCATCAATAAATAAATCACTTTGAAAATTCTATAAAAGACAAATATCACACATGCTCTTGAATTTTCTTGAAATATCAAGAATATCTCTCAAGTTTTGATGATATCAGATATATTCTTCAACTTTGTAATAATTATAATTTTTTCTTTGAATTAATAATATATTTGTTCTTATTTTTTATTGTTTTTATTAGAGCCCAAAGCCTATGCTTTTCCACAATATTTGGAATCTATCCATATTTCCTACCCATGCCCTTGGTACAATTATACTAGTACCCGTCTGTTGCTTAGTTCACTTACATCCTCCTTCTGGTACCTCCCTTCAAACACTCACACTCACATGCCCTTACTGAATCAGCATAATATGTTTGTCATGGCCTCCGTGGATTCCTGCACAAACCATATACTAGCTTCAACTCACAAAAACTTCAAAAATACAACACATGCCCCTGAATTATTTTCAGTTTGTTAAAACTGTGAATCAAGTTATGGCTTCTCACACACAATTGTACCTACAAACCACTAACACAAAATAATCATCATATACAATACACACCACTTTTATGTCTATATATATATATATATATATATAGCAAAATAGGATTCAACGCATATGAAATTACAATCCAAATACAAAATCTTGCAAAATAAATGAAAAATAAGCATTCCAAAATTTGATGGATTTTAATATACATGATAAATAATGAATTCAAGTTCTCAATGTATAGTGATTGCCAAAACATGATATAATACAACATAATTAAAGTAGATGTGGATGCAGATGCAAAAAAAGAAGATGCAATGGAATGATGCAATGAAAAGGCCTAAATTTGCGATGAATTCAAGCTCAAGTTTTGCTGTATTTTGGAGCCAACAACATTAATAATAAACAAGCCTAGGATTTGATACACTTGAACTCCATCATAATCTTTCTTTCTTCAACACTATGGATTCTATTAGTCAAATAACTTTGGAGCTTATGCTTGCTAATACCAAAATTATTTTACAACCCATCAGTGGATGTGTTACTAGAATCAGCATCACCAAAAGTATCTTTTAAGGTTCAATTATTGGAAGAGCTTGGATGATTGACTTGCAAAGTAGATTCTCTAATCTTGCAACAAATTTTTAATTGGATAGTTCCCACTAAAATTGAAGATGTGTAGGCAGAATCTAGGCCTCCATACTCATAGGCTTTATGAATTGCTAATTTGGCATGTGGTGGTATTGATGTGTACGGATCCATTATAGTTGTTGTAAGTTGAAGCTAATGTATGATTTAAATAGGAACCTATGGAGGCAATGACAAACATGTCATGCTGATTCAATGAGAGTATGTGAGTGTGTAAAGAGAGATGTGATGAAGATATAGGTGAATTAAGTTGGACTGCTGCTAGTGTAACTACAATAAGAATAAAGGCAAGAGGTTTGTACAAGGCTTAGGCATTGTAAAAAAACATAGATTTTGAGCCCCAATAAAAACTATAAGAAAATAAGAGTAGATAGATTATTAGTCCAAAAGACAAATTTGCAATTATCACAAAATTGAGGAGCATGTGTGATATTCTTAATATACTTGTTGTGAGTAGATATTATCAAAGTTTATCAAGTTGAGGGTTATTCTTGATATTTCAAGAAAGTTCAAGGGCATGTGTGATATTTTTCCTTCTATAAATCCTCTATTTTATTTATTTATATTTTTATTTTTTATTATTTTGTCTCTTGCATTAAAGAATGTTCTATTTTACTTTTCCTGCAATTCAAACCTTTGATTCACGATTTGTAGTTTTTACAAATTGAAGGCGACTTTTGATGTATTAAAAACTCATTCAATATCAAAACTACTTGGGTTGGTATAGCATAGATGCATTAAGAATTTCATAGGAGTCATTTTGGAATCACTCACATACACTTCATGTTGAAAAGTTTTTTTATATGATATGCAGACAGTAAAAGCTTACAATATATTGCATCTTGTAAAAATTTGTTTGTTCCGTCCATATTTCATATTCAAAATCTTTATCATACTCTGGTAAACGGTGTGATTTTCCATGGAAACTTCACACAAAGTTTGAGCATCCAATTTGGTCTCTGACAGGGACAGTGCACATCAAACTGTAACACTGTCGGTGACACTGAGTCACATATGCCGAAGGCTTGTTCAGCTAAGATTCACTAATATTTGAAGCTCGATCACCAGCAAAGTGATTGTAGCTTGGTTTCGAGCATTTACTCTAAGTTACTATGTTTTACCCAAACATCCCTCATCTTCCTGGCGTGTCGGTAGAGAATATAGTGTGATATCCCATGTTGAAAAATTATCTTGTTTCTGCTGATGGTGAAGAGATATATATGCTTCATAGTCACTTGGGACTTTCATGTAGGTGGATAAGTTATTATGGGGATTCGGGATTTTGTGATGTATGTGTGGCAGCACAACAAGACCTGCATGATCTCATCATGTACTTTATCTCAGTTTGCCAGAAATCAGGTTTTGTAGTTGGTTGTTTGAGAGTAAATAAATTCAGAATTGGCATTGTAGAGATGTGATTTCAACTCAGGGGTGACTGGGAAACTTCCCAGACTGTTTGTGCCGCGATAAAGTTAAATGTTGCTTTCACTGGAATCAGACACACTCTCTGAAGGATTCTTCAATGCTAGAATCTGCTCGAGTTCATTTAGAGTGTTTGCAGCACAGATGTCTTGGATATCCACATACGATCCTAACTTAAGATAGTCGTCGATGCCGGATGACTCAATCATGCCAGACTGTCTACATTCTGTTTCTGCTTGGATAATGAACTTTGCAGTCTTGACTGATGCAAAAGTGAGGAACGGTTGTGTCACTTACACATTGCACATATTGTGAGTCCTTGATATGTGGATCGTGTATGCAAAAATAACCTCAAAAAGTTTCTTTTCATCGGCGGTCATTTGTCACTAGTCGGACCCGAAAATCATGGAATGTTCGACAGACTTCACGGGATACTAAAATTATCATGCATAAGTGACTGACAGTTGGAAACCCACTTGATTTGTGATTCAGGTGGTGTAGACGAGAACTTTTATTATGATCGAGAATGTCATTATTTCCAGTTCAGTAGTAAAGGATTCGAACTAGCTACAATCTTCAGTAACTGCCAATATAAGCACAACCGCTTCCGTAAGGACTAAAACCAATGGTTACTGTAGAAAACCTCGCACCTGTTGAGTGGGAATGTACAACGCTTTGTGCGCTCTGAAGACTATGTCTCGACCACTTTATTTGACATCTAAACTAAAATCGTTTCTGCAAGGAGAATATATGAATGGGGTGACAAATCGTGTCTACTAAGATTTGGCTATCGAACTAAGACTCAACTTCGTCCATCATCTGACGTTGAAATGAATTATTTATGAACACTACAACTAAACACCACTACTCGTGAATGTACACAGGCTCCGTTATTTACTACTCTATAAATTGGATTTACCTCCTGTGGTTTAGGGTCCAGATCCGCCTCATGAACCTGGAGAAGCTTATTCCAAAGAGACTACGCAGGTTTTTAACAATAACCAAGTCGTGTTATTAGGTTCCAGGTATATTAAAAACGACTACCTCCCACCATGGACATTCACTATGACCTCTCTACACTGTTGGCACTCTGTCAACAACAAATCGACTTTTAACGACTTAAGATCTTAAGGCTTTGTGTATGACACTAGTTATTTTGCTTAATCCAGACAGCCTTGGATGGAACACCATTCTGGACCACGAAGAACATGTACCATGCCGGAGGAGCGATGGTATTCCCAGGAACGGCAGTAACCCCAACAGACCAGTTTGCACCTGCCTTCACAGGTGCTGCAGTCTTCAGCTTCATCAGCCTTTGACCCTGAGCAAAGGAGTGAGTCACAAACGGTGCACTCAACATGTTAACCTCTACTCCGCCCACCCTTCGGCCTATTCCAAAAGTGATAACGAAGTTCTGCTTGTATTTGAGCGCTTTCGGGTACGCTTTGATGGCTGGTTTCACAGCGCCGTTCCTGTAGATCACAACACTCCGTTAGAAGAAAATTGTGAACGAAACAATATTAGCGTCAGCATAATATTCTCTTAACCTATCATCATGATAGCACTCGACAAAGCTGAGTTGAATTCAAAGTCATACCCGCCGGCCAGGTAGGGTGGAGAAAAGGCCTCCACTCGCAGTTCAGTAGGGTATGCTCCTCTGTATGTATAGAACTGGTGAGTGTTGCTTCCAGCAACGAGGATCCTTCCGTCGGGAAGCAAGTTGGCTGTGGAGTGATACATGCGAGGAATGTTTGTTTTGGCATAAACTTGGAACGTCTTCCTAGCGACATTGTAGTTAACTGGGTTCAAAGCGGGGTTGTTGGCTTTTCCCCATCCCTGGTATCCATTCAGAGCACCATTAATGATCAAAACATCTCCAGTTGGCAAATTGATCATGTCTCCCATTGTGCGCCGGATCGGCATGTTCTGCATCGCCCACTTCGGAGCCCCTGCAGTGGCAACAATCCTTCCGCAGCTGGCGGAAGCGGGGGCATTTGCGTTCCCGGTCCTAGAGGCGCCAGTAGCTGCACCTCCGCACACCATGATCTCTGCTTGCCCAAAATTGTTCTGCCATACGAGCGGGAGCAGGGCAGCGGACCCAGCCGAAGGGTAGTTACGGGGGTTTCCGGGAATCTGAGGATAGGCTCTCACAACTCTGCCATTGTTCCAATTGAGCTGCACAGAGTCCCTGTTGGCAAAAATGAACAAGTCTCCATTCGGCAGAAGGTACACAAAGGGGTACAAGTTGTCGTAGCCTCCAAGCACGCCCAGATTAAAAAATTTCTCTCCAACTTTCCTCTTCGGGTAGAACTCATAAGATGGGGTGTTACGTCCTCCCACGATGATCTGTCGCAGGCCAGTGGGAAGGAGCTGGTTGGAAGCGTACCACCGCCCCGTTGCCAGGTTTTCCCCCAACTCAGTCCAGTCGCAATTTCCAGATGGCGGACAAGGCATCAGTGTCCTGATCTTCCTGTTCCCCTCAAAATCGCCACCAGTCTGCACCATCATTCCAGAGGCAAAGAACTGACCAGACGAACACCATGTATCTGTGTATATGTACAAGGGGCGGACTGTGTTGGAAGGGTTGAACATCACGGAGTGCGCGTAGCAATCCGTCTTAGAAATACGCTCCGCAGGCTGCTTGCGGCACCGACCGCCAGGAAGCTTGATTGCCGAAGGTCCAATGTTGGTCCGATCGAGCATGATCGCCGTGCCATAGTGAGTGACCATGGTATGCATGGAGGAAATACCTGCATTTTTATTCAATAATGCCCAAGAGCCTTGAGCAGCAACTGGTTCAAAGGATATCAGACACTGCAACAGGACGAACACCACAAGAGTGGCAGTCCACGATCCCATGTTCCTGTCCCACTCTAGATTCACCAGATATCACCGATCTCAATGATATTTAATATCAAAAACGGATAAGTTTCGAAAATAAATATGTAAACAAACCAGGAAACTACACGGTGTAACTTAGAAGCAGTCTAGAACTAGACTAACACACAACCGAAGCAAGCAAGCTGATGTCTCTAAGACGCAGTTGCAACTGGAGACTATCAGTTGGAACATAGACGTAAGATTGACGAGGTGAAGCGATGTCCCGGTATTAATACACTCGGGAACTGGGCGAGTACCTAGGAAATCGCGGATCCTGTTGGTGAGACGCTGCAGTTTGCTAAACTGGGCATGAGGAAAGAGGGTCTAGAAATTCCGACTGTTGGAGTGGCGAAGCAGAGTCACGAAAGCGAAGATGCGGGATGATGGCAGGTTGCGCGGAGTCAATCCGCGTGTGCCAATGGGTTTGCTCACCGCGATCGGGTCCCGAAGAAGGGCGAGGAACAGCTCCTCGACCCAGCCCGCCTTGTTGCATCACAAACGCCCCTGCCCCTTCTCATTCTCACTCCTCTGCTCTCGTATCTTTTTCTTTCTGTGGTTTCGATCTCATCGCATCTCTTGCTTCTATTTTCATTTCTCTTTGTTTGTATTTGTGCTTTTGACTCCTAGTTGCAACCGTGTTGTGGTAGCCACATTTTGTATGCCCTTTTTACAAAATGGAATTTATTTTTATTTTTCAAGTAGGGAAGAAATAATATATATATATATATATATATATGAATTTTTTATATTACTTTATTTAAATTTTATTCCACTGTTAGACATATATTGTGTTGGAATTAAATTTAAGATTAAATCCAGAATTTTCGCTTACAAGACATTGGGTGTTTGTGTTTTTATATATGGAGTAAAGAAAAATCTTAAAAACCACACACACACACAATAAATAACTAAATAAAAATAGAGGATGCACACCATCAAATATGAACAAACAGCGATACAGAATTAGAGAATCAAGGGAGGAAACGAGATTGCCAAAGACACTTTGAATATGAGTATGCGTATGAGGAGAATATGAGGATTGTCAAAGAGCAAGTGTTTGTTGGCAAAAAGGCCAAAGATGCTATTTAAGAAAAACGGGAAAGGCAGGAATAAAAAAGGCACAAGAAGAAGAACCAGTGCGAAGAAAATACGAAAAAACTATTCATACATATATATATTAGTGTGATTTGCAGTAGAGAGCAAGCAGGAAAGCGAGGCCACACCGGAGCTACTCCTCGGCGCCATGCAAAGCCAGAGAATGCTCGACAACAGACCGCCGAGGCACAGAGGTACTTCAGGGTACACATGCATATTCTCCCTAGTTTAGGGTGCAGTAGGAATTGTCATCCGAACAAAAGAGAGCGACTGCAAACCATGCATACCACCTTCGACGCACCTGGTCTGACACGGGTTCCCGCTATCGCTGCTGCTGAACCCCACCAAACCCCTCCCCCGTTCAGCATGAGCTGGGTGCACCCCCGTGGTGCAGTCAAGTTCTAGTATTCGACGCAGGCATTTCGTCCTAGCTGTCACCCATCTTCTCAGACGCAGTCGCCTTAACGCGGAGAGAAACGCAGCGTCCCGTGTTGCTCCATGAGACTCCAGCTGAGAAACCAACCCAGATAACTGCCTGGCCCTACATCTGGACCCGAAGATGTCTAGCAATATCGTCGCGACTTCCAGCCCTAGCCGTATCGAGAGATCTGCGAACCTGTGATGCAGGTAAAACGAAAATCAACCCAGATTCCCGTCGTGCTGGTTCACTGACCCTCTTACCAGATAGATGGTTTCTGACACCGGAACGTGAGCTTTCGATTCTCGTGCCACAACAAACGCCGCACAAATCTACCTTGTGCGTAAGGGTCCAACGGGTGCGCGCGACAAAGCACGTGGCCCGAATGTCTAGCGGCACAAGCAATTCTTCGTCCAAGTCGGATGTCCCAACGAGTTGAGAGCAGCCTGGTCCCACTACAGGGACGCACTGTTCATTCGGGCCTTGAATCGATACCTGCTGCATCTTGTCAATATGTCTTCTTCGTCGTCGTCGATGCGATGGAGCCTCGCCACCGTACCCCGACCACTTGTGCAAAAATAAAACATCTCCGTTGACTTGCCTTGATCAATGTATCGCGTTGCACAAATTTTCCACCGCGGTTAAAATAAAAAAAAAAAAAAACAAACCTTTGAAAGAGCATCGTCGCTTGTTACTATGTTTCCCAATCTGGAGCAAGGTTATTCCAGTCTCAGCTTCCTCGGTCGGTAAAGCGGCCAAGCTACCTCGCGGCCGAAATCAGTGCCGGTAAAATTGAACCAGATGGTGCGCAAGGAAGTTGGGACGGGAGGCAATCTGGATCCAGCTCGGAGTGGAGTGAAGAATCATCGGGTTTAGGTAGAGATTCATGCACAAAAATAGCCGCTCCTCCCTCCTCGCTGAGTAGATTAATAAATGCGTATTCGTTCGCATACTCCTCGTCGTCGTCGTTGTCCTTTCCTCCGTTTTCTTCTCTCACCACGCATTCTGCAAGCATTTTAAGGCACTCCCAGTGTCGTTGTGGCCACGCATCTGGAGCGCCAGCCACCTTCATTTTTGTATTTTTAGAGCCTTTGTTTGTGTGAAGAAGGATTCGCAAGGAAATGGACTCTTCGTGTGGATCTCAGGATCTTTGTTGTGTGTGTGGAAAATGGTGAGTGGGAGTTGGAACCAGCAGAAGTGGTTTTGCTGATCTTGGCATAAAGAACTGTTTTCCGCTAGAGATCAAAAAAATTCGGTGATGTGTGATGGATTGTGAGGAATAGGCTGCTTCTACGTTGAGTCACAAGTCACATGTTTGATATTATTATTATTATTATTATTACTACTACTTTCTTCTGCTTGGTTCATTGAAAATCTATTATTGTTTTGATCCCACACAATGTCATCAAACCTTTTGTTGTAGTTGCATTTATGTTATATATGAAGGTTATACATATATACATACATATATATACATACATATATATATATATATGTATGTGTATGTATATAGAGAGAGAGGGTGTTGCTAATCCCATTGTCTTGTTCTTATTAACTTTTTTAACTCTAATTTTATTAAAACTATTTTTTATAGATAATTAAAAAAATCATATTAGAGATATTAATTACTTTGTTGATGGAAATAAAATAAAATAAAAAATAAAATAAAAAAATCAAGTGGGTAGTGAATTATGGTGGCACTAGCAAAAAGTATGGTGACATTAACAATATCCTATATATATGCAGTTATCTATTATCTTACATGGATTTGTGGTTGTAGTTTTAAACAAAGAAGGAAGAAAACAAAACAATATAAATGATTGAGAGGTTTTGAAATTTTATTCAATGAATTATTTATTTATTTATTTATTTTTGATGTAAATAATATTGGTGAAATATGTCATTTTTTTTGGTTCAAATCAATTTAAATTCTTTATGATGATAATTATCTCTGCATAAAACCTAAATAATAATATTCTTCATGATTTATGTGGTATTTTTTCTATCAAAAATAGAACAAAGATATGGGATTATACATATGCAATTAATAGTTTTCATGTGTCAGTTTTTTCATATATTCTGACAAGTATCTTTTTCTTGAGTTAAATTTATTTATTTATAGCTTTTAGATACTTGATATCATATATTTTATAAATATTATAAAAAAGAACATAAAAATTAATATTAAAGTTTATAGATTTTTAATTATTTTGTCAAAAAATATTTTTCATTTATTTTTATTTTTATAAATGATATTTTAGGTTTCAAATTAATTATTATATTATATTATATTAATATATGCAAAAAATATTTTTTAAATGTATTAAAAAGATAGATCAATATATTACAAAGATTAGTGTAAATTACTAAAGCTAAGAGATTTTATTTTTGTATAAACTCTTTATTCTATCTTTACAAGTCTTTTACACAAGTAGATCAACAACTTTTAAAACATTTTTTTATCAAGAATTAATTTAAAATCTTAAATTTAAAAATAATATTTTAAACTATGTATTTTAAATAGTTGGATTTATAATTAGATAATTTTATGCAATAATACATTCTAATAAATCTACTTAAGATATGTGAAATATATATGATTTTGGTTTAATTTGTAGTCTAATCTTCCTAAGTTTGTATAACACATGTTTATATAATATTGTGCAATTAAAACATGAAAATTGTTGATGCTACATCTCTATTTGATATTGCTACACTCCACTAATCTTCCTTATAGATAACTAGGTAATAATATGCATCTTTCTTTTGTGCATTTTTATTATTTCTTTACTTTAAAAAATGTTGGTAATTGAAAGGGAGATTATGAATATTTTAAGAAAAAATAGGTTGTTAACATTTTTTAAAAAAATAAACTACTTGCCTCAAAATTGTTTAATTCCAATTTTTTTATTATTATTTGGCTATCAAAAATACACAAAACTTATTTTTTAATTGAATCTATTTTAAGATCGATACTGGGATTAATTATTGGATTGCAAATGTGCCTTAAGCATAGAAATGTGCATTTTAGTCAATTTAATTTGTAAGGAGGTTGCATAAGGTGCAACAATATCAAGTGAGGATGTAGCATTAAAAAATCCCTACATTTATATTGTAATATGTTTACAATATAACAAAGTGTTGTGTAATATAACAAATGTTTTTTGTAAAATATGTAATATATATGATTGCAAAACTTTTTAGTGTTCTGAATTGGCTAGAATATAATGAGCTGATTTACAACTACAAACAATACACTTAGTTGTTTTAGTTTTAAATTGAAGCAGGCAGTTACATGCTAGGTAATCAGGTTACGATAGCTAATCATCCCTTTACATGGTCAAAAGTTTCAACACTATTTAATTTAAACTCTTAGCGGCTAATCACGCATGATCAAAAAAATTATTCATATTACTATTTCAAAGTCAATGTATAGGCATATACAAGCTCCTCTGAACAAAGTTTGGTATTTAACTCCGTTTTTAGACAAATTATAAATTTATCAAAATCACATCTACATTCGAATTGCTGTTTTAATAATTATTATTAATGGAAATAAGAGGAAATAATTCAGATACATGGCTTCCTGAGCTGGAAACGCCTCCAGGACTGGATGGTTCATCGGAGGCCATGCAGCAGTTGGTGTTGCCTGAAGCGCACAGATCAAAGGAAGGAGATAAGAATGGAGCTTTACTGAGTGATAGTTCCAGTTTTGCGCCCTCAGCCAATCGTGAGCATCAATCTGAAGATGTAAGGACACCAAATGGCAAGGACTCAGGCTCAGGTAATCAATCCCACACCGACTGTAGTTGCAACGAGGTCCTGTTTGTGCTCGTGTAGTAGTGCAAATGGGTGCAAGCCTTCTTCTAAGAAGTGCTGTTGCTTTGCATCATGAAGCTATTGAAACTTGCCCACTTACACTCAAGGTTGTTTCTGTCTAGAGGTGGCCAACGGACATACAAGCAACGTTCACCAGGAAAATGGTGACAAGAGAGCCACACCTGTCGAGAAAGCTGGAGAAAACGGAGATAGTCCCATCGCAAGCAAGAGAACCACATGCCGCTACATGACCGCCACAAAGTCAGCCGTGGCCAAGTTTCGATCAGCTAGCAATCCCAAGACAAGGGCTCCTGACACACCCGAATCACCTGCCGGTGTACAGAAACGGTATTCTTTTGGGGGTGCAACGTCTGCCAAGGCAGCGGAGAATTCTGCCAAGGGCACCAGTGGCACCAGAAAGTCCAGTTCCTTTCAGGTACTCCCCACAAATCCCGCAGCATTTCAACACCATGCGATAGTTCTGAACCTAAAACTAACATCATCGAACAACAATGAACAGTGACGCCTACGTTAGTGACAGTTTCAGTTTTCAAGATAACAACCGCCTCAAGTGATCTGCAGAACCGACGAAGTCCAAGTCCAAAGACAGAGAAACCTCCGAGTGCCGAGGCGGTGGCTGCATCACCTGCACGTCGAAATTCGTTAGGAAGTGCGGAAGGCAAGAGGTGGAGAACCTGAAAAGCAGGACCCAGCAGCCCATCCCACGTATTTTCAGTACTTGGGGTCCACTGCTCACATGCACCAACATCGTTTCCAGTTGATGCAACCCTCATTTTAACCATTAATTTTTATTCTAATTTGGTTTTAACTTTTGTTGTGACAACTTTTATTAGTGCCTTAGATTGTTTTTTGTTTAACATGTGGATCTTTGGATTTCTAAAAAAATAGTGTTTAACTTTGTATTGCCAAATTTTCTTATCTTCTTATACATATCAAATATCTCTTAATTTTACTGATTGAGATATTATTAAATTTAAGTAAAATATGTCTTACATTTTTATTTGTACAATAAGAAAATTTACTTATAAAACAAATACTAAGTACTAAAAATGTATCTAAATTATTCACTATTTTTAATTTTTCTAAAATATTTATTGTGTACAAAATATAAATTTTATTGCTTTTTTGAAAGACTTTTATATCATAATCCTCTAAATCTTATATCTTTAGAAATTTTTAAGCATAATCTCTAATAAAAATTCTTAATTATTTATCTTTTATTTTTTAAACAAAACTCTTGTTTGTTACATGTCCTTATTTTTCCATTTCAATGTCAGATTTTGATCTTTTGTGAAAAATATTATCTCCTAAGTGTTAATTTTACTGATATTACTATTATTATCATTGTTATAAAAATAAAATCCTTGGCCATAATTATATTATTTTTTTCTAAAATTCCTCATCATGACTTATTTATGGCTATACAAAAGTAATAAAATTATTTTTAATATAAATTAAGAATAAAAAAATTGACTTTGTACATAAGTTTTATTCATTAGCTTATAAGCATAAACATAATTAAAGGACTTAAACTTGAATTATTTCCATGTATATTGGATTTTATCTAATTTTTTTAAATAAACGTATTATAATATAATATTACTTTTTTTAGACTTTTTTAAGGATTAAAGATATTGAAAAAAATACTTATATAAATAAAAAAAAAATAGAAGTAAATAAAAACAAATATTTCCTCTTTGCTAGAATTTTTTTCCTAAATAAAGTGAGAAAGCTTTCTATAGACAAATCAAATCTAAAGATGCTTATTATTATAAAGCATGGTTGTAGAATTTTTTTTAAAAGCTATTATAAAAACAAACTTCTTTTGCACAATGAACTTCTAAATTTGAAATTGTTTTGGAAGCTTTTGTATGATAATCTTGTTAATTTTCACTTTAAAAAATAAAATTAAGGCTATTGTTAATCTTGTCAATGTCTTTTTTATACTCTAATATTATTTAGTATTTATAAGTACTATATAAGTATATTACGTATTAATTAATTTGTTTATATTCACATCCTTCACTAATCCAAATAATATATAGACTTGCTAGATTTTTGTTGTATTTCAGTAGATAGCAAGTAATAAAAATTGATAGCATAATATCATTTATTAATCATATTAAAATATTTTAAATTTAGATGTATTAATTTAATATTATTTTAATTTTTAATTCTAAGATTTTTTAATCAAATATATTTTTTATTGTTTTCTTTATAGTTTTAATGATTATACTAAAGATTTTGTATCTATCTATAATTTTTAAGATTTTAACAATAGATTTCTTTTTGTCATAATTTTTTTCTAAATTTAATAAATTATAGTATTAAATTTGATAAAATATTATTTAAATAAATTGATTCAAAGATTAGTAATAACTTCATAACTTAATTAGTCTTCAATTTTATCACAAATATAAAACTAATTACAACAAGTAAATATAATTTATTTTTTACTTTTTTTACTTGTATATTTTATGATAGTTTTATTGTCATTAATAGTTTTATTACATCGAAGTTTTAAATTATCTAAATAGGTACTTTAACAAAACACATCCAAATAAATATGATTGTAGATTTTAAAATATAGTGAATTTCTTCATTGTTTCATGTATAAAAAAAATGTATAATCTTTTAATTTTTATACATAAAAATAGTATTTTTTATTTATATAATTATTTATTTAAAATATTTTTATTGTTAAACTATTTAGTATTCAATGACATTTATAAAATATTATTTCGAAATGGTGACAATAAATATGGATCACAATGATTAAAGAAAAATATTTTGGTTGCCAAATTATGTGTTATTTCTAATTCTTGCTTTATTCTACAAGGTCAAAGTCCTTAATCTACATTATAACAAAAAATTCAAAATGTACTTGTCCAAAATTTAAATATTCTTTTTAGATCATCTGTAATGGTATATGTAAATATTCAAAGTGGCTTAGAATTATATAACTAGTATCCATTCAAAACATTTATTTTGTAATTTCTTGTGTTTTATGATAATAAGGTGCAAATAGATGTAATTGCAGTTGTTTACAAATTTTTCTAATTAAAATATATTATGTTGACTATTTTACCAATAATTTTGTGGAAATTTCTTATATATTTTTTAAGTTAATATATGTATCATGGTGGACTTGCATGTTATATAATCAAGTTGTTCTTATGGACATTCCAGGAGAAGAGTAGAGAGCAGTGCTATCTATAGCACAATGTATGTCTTATTTAGTGGGCACTTTGAATATATTTTAGACAATTTTTGAAAGTTCTTGTTGTCTAGTGTTCAGCTTGGTAGAGTTGTGATTGTAGATGTCTGTTGTTTAAGATCCTTGTAGAAGAACTCTATTCTCTATTTGTATCTTTGTATTTGTGATTTTATTATTTATTATTTTCATCAAATAAAAATTTACTATTTTGTTCATCAACATAGAGTCAACCATGTAATTTCAAAAACATGTTATAGTTGTAAGTTGTAGTATACCATTGAAAAGATTTTAAATTAATCTTATGTTATGTGTTAAAGATATAATACAATATTGTTTTAGACTTATCAAATATGGGGGTTATGCTAACGACTTTGTTAGTCATTACATGTTAGATTTTGCAAAAATTAAAAAATTAAAAAAAAATCACTCACACAAAATTTAAATTCAAACTACGATATTAGATACAGAACAATGTTACATGTACAAAAATTGACCAGATCACATAGTAAGCGTGTATATATATATATGTATAGAACCAACGAAAGGGCCCCACCACTTTAGAATGAAGCAGCTAAGAATCACACCAAAGTATCAATTCCATTCCCACACATTCCGAAGAGGCTCAGGTGCCACGTGGATGATCGACCCATCATCAGAGGCCACGTGGATGATCGACACATCATCATTTGCCACGTGGAAACACAGCATTGGATTCTTGTAATGACTCATCAGCAGATGACTGGATGAAGTCGATGTGGCTTATTCCATCCAAGGAACCTGTCTTAGGCCCCCACGGTGGCTAATTATTCAACGCCCATGACCATGATTCGAAGGCTATGGCCATTTCCTTCGTCGATCTCGCGGATTTCGTAGAAGGGGGCTCTCAATTAACGACCAGGTGCAAATCGCTCTTGTTTAGTGAGGATTTTGCAAGACTATCTCGGACTCGGTGTTGACTTGCAAATGTAGTCGCTCGAGGTTTTTGAAAGCATGCGTGCGGAAGAGGTGTTGGAGTTTTGAGAATGGAGCCGCGTGTGGCGAGGGGTTTGTCGCAATTCGGTGCTCGTGGGAAGTGGATTGTGACATTAGGTCTCGAGGATCAATTCTGAAGTTCTCGGCGAGGTTTCTGGATGTTTATGGGATCGCGCCTGGTTTGTATCATTCTCCTGCAGGCAAGCTCTCTGAATTTGCACTTAAACCTTTCTCGTGAGAGCACTTGCTGATTGATCGGAATCTGGCAATACCATTGCATATGTGTCGGACACCTGAATCTTTTGTTCTTGGTTTATTTTTTCGGGGCATGTCGTACCTCAGTAATGCACACCTGCTTGCTTGCTTGCTGGCTTGGCCTCATTTGCAAGACTGAAAGTAGAAGCAGAGGATTCTCCAATTGTATATGTGCAGTTGCAGCTTTTTTGTTTTGATATTTTTTGTAACGCATGGAGCGAGTATCACTCTTGTTTGAGGACAGTGATGAATTGGAATGCTCCGGCAATTGATTAGAGCGACCTATGGAGCTCATCTTTTAAGTCTTGGGCTTCGCTCACCCTTCAGCCATGTTCTACCATCTATGTATTTTGTTTTAATGCATCGCAGTACCAAAGCAGGTCCTGCACTGCGTCATTGGTTCTTACATCTTGTTCTCATATTTTTAACTTATCACTCAAGTTGCGAAGATAAATACATCTAAGTTGAAAAGAGTTCTACTGGACCATACACTGCTGCTGAACTGCCCGTTTCAGATCATTGCCATTCATCACGAGCTACAGATGTCACAGACCTTTCTTGAATTTTGTCAAGTGGACCTCAATAATCTTTTTCAATTTGATTCAATACTCATTGACTGACCAAACAAAAGATTGTATCCTATCCTCGTTTTTATGGCTCTGTTAAATAATATGATGATTGGATTTTGTACTGATTCAGAATCTACATTCAATGGTCTTGATTCACAGATGCAGGACAACAAGAAGCAGGTCATCGGAAAATTTCAACAGTCCCTGCACATAAACACAAGATTGTTGAAATGGCGCAGTCTGGGGGAATTAGCGGGCCTAGCAGTGACGACGTTGGGACTTCGAATCCTTCAATCAACCTGCGGGGAGACTCATCAAGGAATGTACCTATTTATGTACTCTTCTTGATCATGCTCAGTTCCGGGATCTTTACTCTCATCTTCCTTTGGATATGCGTTCAGTATGTGTATCACAAAAGGATGGTCAGACAAGCCCTTAGAGACCTAGAACAAATCTTTGTAGTCGAACGTGCTTGGGAAGCAGAGGGCATGGAACGAACACAGCAGGAAACCCCGTCGCAACCAGATGGAATAACTCCAAATGCACCTAAATTGAGCTCTGATGGCAAAGGTTGCGACAACAAAGTCGAATTGACCTACGTGGTCATGGCTGGGGAAGACCAGCCAACATTTCTTGCACGACCCCTAAGCACTTCTCAGGAGTCTACTGTGGCTCCAAAGGCTGCCGTATAGTAATTTACTATTCCTAGTACTGTAGACAGAATTCATTGTAAACTGAATGTTGGCTCCACCAGGGAGAATCTCGAAAACCCACAGATCCTTTCCACACTTTCAGACCGTAAACATTGTAGAAAGATATTCGGCATGATGCAACTTCACATTTGGTTATATACTTCCTCAGTGCATCGATTATTCCTCTCCGACCTTAACTTCATTTTGTAATTTACACTAGTCACTTCCTCTATGCGTTTGGTTGAAATCTACCTCGATCGAAATTTCAGCAACCAGCGCTACTTGCTCTTCTTTGGAATGCGTCTTGTTGGAAACACTTTTACCGTGCTCTATTTCGAATGTGGGGGTTGCATTTGGGATTTCCAAATGCGTCTTCGATGCGAGACCAGTTCAGGCCGATCCTATCCGACTAGATTATTACTAGGTCAGTGGACTCTAGGTTCGTTTCGCTCACCTTGACCTGACTAACGCGCGACAGAGATTATGATTGATCATGTTCGGAGTCTGTTCAATCTTCCCGGCCATACTATGCAAAATCTATCCAGCTTTCAACTGGGATACCAGAAGCGGTGTTGATAAGTCCATGGGCTTGGTGCGTAGACTGGGCATATCAAAGGGAAATGTGCATCGCAGCGAATCTGGGTCCAAGGAGAGGAGTATTGACCAGGAGTTCCGCCTAAAATTACTCCGGACTGTTGACTGGCCATGGCGAACGGGAACGTGGTGTCGGAGGAGACCTGTTCCGGTTGTAACTACGTTCTTTCAGGACATATTGTGAAGAAGCGGTGAACATGTTTTGCGAACTTGGTACCGTCGTGAATGAATATAAACTGTGATGTACGGAAGCTCTGCGATCACGTGATAAGAGTTGTTCACCTTGATAAGCTGCTGAGTTGATGATCTAGTAGCTCTTCTTATACCACATTTGGGGTGGCCAACATGAGTCGGCAAAAGAAGCTTGTAAGGTACTGTCTTATGTACATCAGTTCTGGAAGAGGAACCAGCATGGAATCAACGTGACAAAAGTAGCGGATGCTTCATTATCAGCTGGCAGGTTTCCAGCTTGATTTCTTTCATTAGGACTCGTCCAGTCTTATGGACCTTGATCCTGGCAATGGAGTGTTGAGTGAATATTCTTCTTTATTTATTCTGCTTCTAATTTCATCCAATAATAGCTTCATGGGTTGACTTGGGTGTGCAGATTAAAGCGAAAACCAATGCTGCACGACTCCTCACACGGAAGGCTTTGTTGAAATTTGCATCTCGTGCAGAAAACCTGCTTTTGTTTCAGCATTCACCTTGTGTTAAAACGGTAGATTGCTGTAACAAAAGTTACACTGCGTGTTTAAAGACTTCGAGACTTGGATATTTGCACACAGAAAGGGAAAAAAATGGTCTGATTTTGTACGACAGGTGACAGAGCTAACAGAGCTATTTTTACTCCAAGTATGGAGGATATTTTTTTTCATTGTATTTAGGTAGAACTGGCCGACATTTTGCTTTCATGCTTAGGAAGCGCCGAGGACTCCCATCAGCGGTACCCTGTCAATGACAACATCAAGTTGCTGGATCCAATCATGAAGATGCTGGGCAGTTCTCATATCATGTGATCACCGCGTCCGAAGAGAAGCACTCTTGGAAGTACTGCACACTGTAGCCACTCCGAGATCCTGACAATTCGCACGTCGGGGTCTCACTGGACAACTTTAGGAACCGTTGACGGAAGCAGCTCAAGCAAAGATTTATATACAGAACATTGGGTATGCGACAACGAACCATGTGCTAGTTAAGCGTCTGCCCTCTGGATGTACTTTGTTTCAAATATGTGTTTTGAAACCTAACGCTGCGACTTGAATGCTTCTATATGTGTTCTAACCCAGATAGTAATATGCTAACTTTTGGTCTCTAGATGATGAATGTATTGAACACTAACTGCACTTCTTAGAATCTGTCAGGCGAAACTTTACACTCATTTTCGTTGTTCCAATAGGTGAAACCTGCTGATTTTTCTCTTCATTCTAGACAGAGGGGAAAGATACGTTGAGTGGTGTTTTGGCATGCATTGCTTCTTCACTCACAAGCGTCAACTCATCCAATCAACACACCAGCACTTAAGAATCGGTAACAAGGCGCTATGTCCATATGGCTCAGTGGCCTAGTGGTATGCAACTTTTTGACACCTGCAAATATCTTGAATGTTTCAGATCCTTAATAAGCGGCAGGAATTCAATCCCCTGAAGTCAGGATTGGATTCACAGTGGATCTTCAATTTACAATAATCTAAACAATCATGCGAAAGAGACGATTAATGCGAATGATCCGAGCTCAGCATCGTCCCCGTAGGTTGTAGGTTATTGGCTTCAAGTATTCCTGTCCTAAATCCTGTCCGGTTGTAAACTCCGTAAAATAACCATTTCATTCTAGAAGAGAAGGCAGCGAGTTGAGGAACAGGGAGAGCTTAGCCCGAACTGCTCTATCGGTATTAGTATGTGTTTTCAACGGAGTGTTAACGTTCATATCATACAATGAGGATGGTCTGCATGGATGGCTGAGTGAAAGGAGAGGCTCTCAAAGATAACAGTGAATGCTGTTTCGCTTCTGCCAAACAGAAACACCAAGCTACCCCACAGTCTGTTTACTGTATCACTTCGCGCCTCGGCTTGTCTTTACATGTGAAAGCAACATCAGAGCAGCTCTGCACCATGAGTTGAGACTTGTGAAGTGAAGAGCAATCCTAGAGTCTTCACAAAAAAAGTCCAAGTGAAACCTGGACTGTCATTTTTTAATAGAAAATCCGCGATTATTTTAAACACTGGAAACGAGGATCGACCAACTCAGGCCAAGAAAGCACACGATTGGATCAACACCAATGCACCCAACGACACATTGCTTGTCTGATTACCTCAATAGCTGTGAGTATCAGAGAACCTTACCAAAGTCAACCACGATCACTAGGCGTCAGATGAGCGGAACAACTTTCGATCGATCCACGATTCCACCCCTGCAGTGGGTGGTGAAGCACAGACCAAGTCCCTTTTCCGAATTATTACGGGCAATCGCAATCCAACACCAGGGCAAATTGCAAAACCAAAGCAATCCGGCGTCACATGCGCTACCTGCAGGCACTGCAAAAAACAAAAGTGTTTTCTGAAGCCACAACTAGAAATATTTAGCACAACATCAATCTATCACTTCGCAAATATTTTTGAGTACTCGTGAGCAGCTGCACTATATCACACTTTTTAATACGTGAGGGTGTAATTTCAGCACGCAGATGTGGACGGATCGAACCCCAGATCTGACATCTGATGCAGATCTCTGGTAGTTGATGGTGTAAATGCATGTTGACTGTCTGTATTCCAAAGTAAGATAGAAAGAATTATAAAACTTGCAAATCCATTTGGTTTGGCCATACCACTACTAGTGAGCTTTTGCAAAGACATCGCAAACTCGTGGACGATCTAAATTAGAGATGACAAGATGCCGTGTCAATGTGACTGGTTGACTAGGAAAAGACATGTTTGTACATCCACCACCAAGATAGCATCTTTGTGGATATTTTATTTGTTTTAACTATTTATAATTTATGGATTTTAATATTCTTCTTTAATTTAATGACATTGGAATGGTTTTGAAACCTTTTGTAATTTTCTTTTCTACTTTTTCTCTCTTCAAAATGCTTTTTGATATATTTTCAAAGTTTTTTTTGAGTGTTAACATTAAGGGATCCTTAATATTATTTTATGTGAGTGTTCCATTGTTACTATTATGTTGCATAAATATTGATAGAACGTCTTACTATTTTGTTGCAATAAGTTCTAGAGAACTGGTATTTTTCTAAAAGGTTTCATTTATAATTAAAAATATAATGCCATTTTATTATTTTTTAAATTTGCGCATAATATTTATTCATGTAACAGCTACTATAATAGCCAAAACTTCAGATTTTTTGATAGCCACTCTTTTATGATGTAGTGTTAGTTTTTTTATGATACAGTACACAAATATTATTGATTTTTTTTTTTTTTTCAAAATACTAAACTAATGATCAAAATTGTGCCCAAATAAGTCTACATTAAAAGAGTTTAGTTCTGTAATCTAACTCGTATCTAATTCACTATTTTTTTGTACTTAAAATTTACATCTAGATTTAAGAAAATATATTATATTTACTCAACAAAAACTTCCTTTTAATTTAATATAATCTTATTATAATCTTTTGATTTATTTTAATTTAATATAATATATTTTCTTATTTATATCTTTTTTATATTTTCAATTATAATCTTTTATATATTTTCAATTATAATCATTTTTTTATTTTTTTTATTTTCTTACTATAATGAGTTTGACAACACTTGCAAATATCTCTTTAAGAAAATCTTACAAGTTACAATAGTTAATTATGTGTTTGTTAATTTTATTTCTTTCAATTTTTTCCCAATGCATTGTATTTTTAATACAATACTTAAAATAGTGAATTTTAGAAGAAAATTTACCTTTCAAATCTTATTTTATTATTGATAATTTAAATTAACTTTTTCTTGTGATTATTTTTCATTCTAATTTTATGATTTTATATAATTTTTTAAAAGAATGTATATAATTATGATATTTTTTTAATATCCTTGAAATATTTTTTTTAATCTTTTTAACTCTTTCAAAAAGATAACACACTTCTGCTGAAATACTGAAATTTATTTTAATATTGTTGTTCTGTTTCTACAACGTTGACTTTCATTATCAATTTGAATTTTTCTTTTTATATATTTACATCAATTTCCTTGGTTATTTAAAACTTGAGCTTTTCTTGATTAATGTGCATCATTATTTGAAAATTATAAATATTTATAGAAAAAAATTAAAAATAGATCTATCTCGACTCTATATCCTAGAAACTATTTGCATATTCTTTGACATATGAAAATAAAAAAATTATCTAAAATTGAAATTAAAATTAAAAAATTAGGTGCAAACTAATATAAATTTATGTATTGGTATTGAGTTTTACTTGTTAAAATATTTATTCTTGAATATTAAATTAAAATAATAAAACTCACACTTATGCTAGTATAAATCCTAATAATAGATATACATTATCTATATTATTTAATTCTCATTTTTATAAAACTAAAATTTTAAAAGTACCCAAAGCTGTTAATTATTATTTATTAAACCAAAAATATTTTATTATCTAAAATCACTAAGTTATTTGATCAAAATTAGATGTTTAAGTTTACATGTATTTTAATTATTAAAATTAATATCATATTATCATATGAGTAGAAAAATATATGGCTACATTTAGTAAAGTGGTGGTTTAGCAAAGATATATCTTTATTGGAATTTACTGATTGTCAAATTGAAATATAAAATTACTTAAGGAATAAAGAAAGACCTATGAAATTAATACTTTTAAAACAATGACTAATATTAAAGCACTAATACAAGCAATGTTGCCACATTAATTTCTTATTATATTTTTGTAATATAACACATTAAAGAATACCTATTAAATATAATATAAAAAAATTTAGAATTTATATTAAAAAATTAGTCCTTTTTTTTGTTTTCATCTTCTTGTTTTAAAACATTGTAGAATCTTTCCAAAAAACTTTTCACTTAAAAACTTATTTTCAACAATCACATGTCTTTTAATATTTTTTAAGTATTTATTATTTAGCACAATTTTAATTTATGTAGTTTACTATTTTTATCGCTTCTTACACAATTATATATATATATATATATATATATATATATATATATGTAGTTATTACAAAATTTATGCTAATTTCCTGTGATTTATTTAGAAAAATATATTGCCATATTATTTCAAGTTATTAGTTTGTACTTTGATATTTTATTATGTAAAATATTTAGTTACAACTTTTTTCAAATATTGGTACTAAATTTCATCAATTTTTGCATGTTATCAATTTTTCACATATTATATACATGTAAAAGTAATATTCAAATAATATTTTATTTCTTTAAAATGTTTTTTAATACACCAAATAACTTGCACTTTTCAACATCTCAAATTAATTTGTTGAAAGCAATGTTTATCAATTTACTTGTGTCTAATAAGTATGTAGATATGCTATAGTTTATTTATAATTTAAATTAATGACATCCTATTGCATACAATCTATTATAAAATTTTAAATTTAATTATGTATTTTTATACTTATTTATGTTTTGATAGTAACCATATGAATAAAACCTAATCATTAATATTATCACATATAGTAAAAAGTTAAGACTTTGAAACTAATACCATTATTCTTCTTTTCTACAAGTGTACAAAATTATATGGAACACAATCCTAGAACAATCTATATTTTCCTATAGAATCCTTTGGTTGAATAAGATAATAAGAATCAAAAATTAAATTTTGATTAATTTTTTTAAATTTTAACTGATTTACTTCAAAAATACCATAGAAATTTTAAATTGTGTAGTTAAAAAACGAACTCGATAACTTTAAATTTATTTTAAAAATTAATAGTGTACTTATTTAGCATGACATATTTACAAATGGCACAAATTATTATTGTATATCTATCTATTAGTAATATCAAAAATTAAAAACATATATTTTTATCTTATTTTATCTTAACATGTTATAATAAAAATATTCTCATTTATATATTTGATACTATCAGCACCCTGAATGATATCATCAATCTTTAGTAAATACAGTAATAGGAAAGGATGATAATATAGTAAGAAGATAGAATAGAAATGCAATTGATCATACCACCATTCCAAAGTTAGGATAGAAGTGGTAAATAGGAAACATTTTAGGCATTATAAGAACTAGTGAAGGGACACTTCTCAAAAATCAGATGTTCACATGTGGGTGAAAACAATAGGATTGTTTGTTGCATTTTTGTAAGTTGTGGCCAAACAAAACCTTGTAATGTTTTGTAATTGAATGAATAAAAGAGAAGATTGTCATTCAGGTACTGAAAAACTCAATAGTGTAGCAAAGAAATACCTTGCCAAAGGAAGCAGTTATGTTATTGTTTCATAGCGCACCACTAATCAGCAAAACCTTGAGCTAATAGATACTTCAAAAGAATTATAGTACATTATTATCTTAAATCTTGAACACCTTGTATAACCCATAAATGATCACTTACATCTCTAGGTAAGATTTTTACTAAAATTGTGAACCTACATTAACTCATATTTTGTTATTCCAATCATTTTCAATATAGAAATATTTATATTTATAATTTTAAATAAGTATAAATACTTTTAAAACTTATAAAAAGAAATAAAATAATATAAGTATAAATAGTTATAAAGGCTTCTAGAATACTTCTTTAGGTGTTGTAGAAGAAATCTAATAATTTGTACAAATTATTGTGTGTGTGTATATATATATATATATATATATATATATACATTAGATAACCATACACTACTATTTTTTCTCAACATAAAAATGAACTTTTTTAAAAAAATCTAAATAATTATATAATTAATATAGCTTTTACTATATTTTTAATCTTTAAAATGAATAAAAAAACTCCAAAGCTAATAATAATTGATTTAGTTTATGAATGGAAGTTTTAATTGGTCTTTGAATTTTTTTTGAATTATTTTTTATTCTATTATTTGCTTTTTTGAATAACTTTGTATATCATAGAATAGTCATTGAATTGCGTTGTTTGATGCTGATGAATTCAATGTTGATTCTACTTTTTAAAGTGATATGTTTGCATAGAATTCTTAACTTCTATGTTTAGACTGATTGTCACATTTTGACCTTTACAACAAATGATACATATGAATATTTTAATTTCTAATTTCTAATTTCTATTTTTTTTTAAATTAAAAGACTTAAAAAGTAAGTGTTCAAATCACAAGACTTGAATTGAAATTCTAAAAGAATGTTAGAAATAGTAAAAATACTATTAAAATAAGAAATAAATTATTATTAAATTTGAAAACTTAACTTTTATGTTTATTTAAGGGTTTATATATATATATATATATATATATATATATATATATATATATATATATATGTGCATTAAATTATCAAATAAATAAAATCTTTATTCTAAATTTCTTCTATCAAATGTGTTAAAAATTCAATTTAAAATGTATATCTTTGACATACAATAATTTAATATAGTATATATAATGTATAAATTTTGATGTTAAATCTGTAAGTTAAATTTATTCTAAGATGCACTTTGGATAACTACAGAATTAATTATTTTTGTAACTTAAAAATTCCAAGATTTTAGTGGAAATGAAAAAAATAAATTAAAACATATTATTTTAAAAAATAGTATTAGTTATAGTCTTATTAAACTATAAAGGTGCAAGAAGAATAAGAAAAAAAATAAACAATAAAAAACTCCAAAATGTAAAATTTAAAATTCCATTTTATGTTTTTGATAAAATAATTGGTTTTTTAATTTTTTAAGCAAGTGATAGATCTAAAAAAAGAAATATTCAACATTAAAGTTAACTTAATCAAAAGATAAAAAAAATTATGTGAAACTTCTGTTGAGAGTAGAAGAGACACAATAATATTAGAAACAAACATTACAAAGCATAAAAATGCATAAACGGTAAAGAGCTCTTTGTAGAGACAACCTTGGTACTCATCTAAACAAACACCACTCTTCTCAAGAACACTAAACAAATAATCCAAATAAAAAAATTAAAACCATCCTTCTATATATATATATATATATATATAAATTGTAAAATGCTAATTCAACCTTGAACTAACAATGATGTGCTTTTGGAGTAAGAGGCTATTACCTCATTAACATCCAAACCAAATCCGAATAAATCTGATCAACATTGAGATGCACTGAATCAGACTCGAATCAATTCATCCCCGGGTATGTAGCACAGGGTATCTCGAAAACCGGGTACGGTGACGCAGGGTGTTGCTGCGTCAGGGGGTGCCAGATCGAATATGAATTCTATAGGGGTAGGAGTTATCCACGTCAGATGGAGGAAGGGACGGTGATGGGGGGTGGGGGCGATGCCGAGGCCTGGCCTGGCTCGACTTTGCCTTTGTCCGCAATGCTTGCTTTGCTTTGCTTCCTTGCCCGGTCTTGCTTTTCTTTTTCTTTTTCTTTTCTTTTTCCCCTCACATGGATCAGCATCGTTACTGCTCTCTAGCTTCTTGTCGGAGCCACGCTTTCATCTCTCGCTAGCTCGATTGAGTGAGTGATTCATGCCTGCCGACGCGCTTTTGGATCGCATTTCCTGCCGCTTCACTACCCGGTAAGTCGATATCATGGGAGTCGGTAAGGTTTCGCAGACTGTCCGCTCCGACGGAGCACTGGACGGCAACAGTATGTGGTCGAGTTCACGTTTTTGTCTTCTGGTTGAGAGGTTTATAGGGCTTTGATCCTCGAGATCGATCTTTCCATGCATTGTGGTGGTGCAATTTCGAGCTCCGTCCAATTTTCAACTCGTTTCGGACTTAGGTTTTTTTAAAATGGATTCTTGGGTTTTTAGATTGGTTTAGTTCTTGAGTTGCTTGAATTTCGGTAGAGTGGAAGGATATTGTGGAGGATGATCGAAGATGCGGTGGTTGTTTCATTCCTGATTGAGGATTCTAGTTATGCGATCTTTTGCCCTTGGAAACTATTGGATCAACGGAGAATTCGATACCGATGTGGCGTGGGTATTTAGGGTGTTCGTGAATTGGGCTTTGAACTCTTTCTGATTCTGATGTTTCAGGAAGGTGTACAGTTGAAGCCTTGTGATTTCTGGGTTTTCTTTTACCGCCCAAGTGTGGGACCGTCTTCTTTACTTCCGCAATTGAGTCCAAAGTGGTGGCCATGGCTATGGCTGAAGGGGAGCCTGAGAAGACGAGCAGGGGTACTGTGGGGTTTGCTATAATTGAGGAGAAGGATACTTGTTTGTGGACCAAATTACCGCGGGAGTTGCAACACAAGGTTTTTAGCTACTTGCCTCTTCGGGATTTGTTTCAGATTCGATGCGTTTGCAGAGATTGGCGATACGTAATTCATCGCCGTGGCTTTCGCAGCGTGTACGATGCAATGCACAGCTCAGAGGACCCCAGTCCTTCAATTTGTTATATAGGATCTTATTATCCGAATTATTTACAGTGGTCGACATATGACTATGCTTGCAAAAGGTGGAGGATTATGCGGAGTTTCCCTCCTCAAAGTAGAGTTGAGCACGATCGTGTTGATTTGAGCGTGTGCTCGGTGAATGGGCTTCTGTGTTTAATGCTCTGGAAGCAAAAGGCCAAGGTTCGAATTCATTTGCCATGGCAAGTGTGGAATCCTCTTACGAACAAGTGGAAGCAACTTCCTTCGTGCAAGCATAAAACTGTCAATCGAGGGACTTACTTTGTGCACGCTTTTTCCGATGACACGACGAAGTCCTATAAAATCTTGATGGCTCATAATCCCAAGAAGCATCTTTACCAATATACCGACACCGACACAAGCTTGGTGACGGAGATTTACGATTCAGCAACTGATACCTGGAGAGAAGCCTCACCATATAATCTCCAGCTGCCTCTGAGTCCTCTTAATCAAGCTCCTAAGAGAGGCGTGCGTTGCGATGATGTAATCTATTTTGTTACAAGAACGTCAAATGAGAACATTCTCTTGTCTTATGACATCAAGAAGGATCAATGGCATGAAGAAATCACTGACGAGGAGTGCATGGAGATTTTCGAGTGGGATGGGCGTGTGATGACAGCTATGCCTTTGCTTACTAACGGTTTCTACATGTACGAAGATTTTTACCGAATCTCAATCTTTGAAAGAAATTCTGCTACTAAGAGGTGGGTTGATACTGGAATTGAAATTCCTTACAAAATCAGGAATAAGTTTGTTGAGGACGAGGAAGGTGTTGAGATAGCTGCTAGTGGAAATCATCTAGCCATCACTGGTTATACTAGAGATGGAAGTTTTAGGATTGCTATTTATAAAAGGGCAGAGAATTATTGGAGATTTCCTCCCACTGGGGCTTTTTCGGATAAGATACGTCAGGCAAGGGTAGAAGGATTGTTTCAATTTAAGCCAAGGTTAGAATCGGTTCCTTGATCTGAGGTCTTGAATAGTTAAGGATAGTATTAACATTCATTTGGATTGAAATTGCGCACGTTCAATCCTGGGTTTCATGCCACAACTCGGCTACTGAATTTGCATAAGTTTAAGGTTGATGTATGATCCAGCAATTTCTCACTCCCATAGTCTAATAATTCATGGTGATCGTAACATAAATTTTCTCTCCATAATCATCTTTTCTGATTATCGTTTCAATCAATGACACTAGGTATTTATTTGATGAGCACTTATTTTCCTATCTGCTGCCTTTAGCTTCTTCTGTGCACACATATTTGTTGCTGGTTTGGACCCCTACTTTGGAAGATCTATTTTTCTCATCTTAGAGAGGATAACATGGTAAAAATGAGGATCTTGAGATGTTGCTCACGCCAGGTTTCTGTTTCAGCGATTCTAATCTGGAAGTTCATTTTTATCATATTACTAAAGTTGTCTTATCTCATTTTGTAGCAGTTGTCGACGAAAGTGTGTCAGGTCTACTGTATGTGCATTTTCCACCTCAACTCTGTTCCAGACAATCCTTGATATATGTCTGTCGTCAGTCCATTAGTAGCGCCATCGAAGAATTGCAAGAGCAGTTCTGGCTGTCTCGTTAACACACATCAGGCAGAAAGTGGGAGATTTTTCGGCACAGTCGTGATACAGTTCTCCTTGTCTATAGTTGTAGTCCAGGGAGGTATCACAACACTTGCATTAGTCCGACTGGACCTCCAGACCATTGCCATTGGCCTTCTCTTGTCTGAGACAGCAAATCTGCAACCGTCATCTAATTAAGGCGGATGCCTTACGTTAGTCAATTTCGGCAAGACCACATGTCAAGCTTCACATGACCACGAAAAGCTGGCTGCAGAACGGAGTTTCATATTTCAGCTTGTTCATGGTGGGCCTGACTTATTTCTTGAAGATGTTCCAGTTGCAATGTTACTGACGATGTGCATAGCGGTATTCTTACACAGATCTAATATATAATTCCATGCCCTTCGCTTTCCAAGCGCATCTGTTTACACCACAAGACATCACCTAACTACAGGATGAGAAGACTAGTTCTGACTGTTGATTAAGGCTGCAGACAAACAGCACCAATGAGAAAATGCTTCAGCAGACTAAATAAATCGGGCTGCATACCAAAACCACCCTTTGACGACTTGGCAAGAGTAATGAAATAAAAATGCCGCAGCAATGGTACAAATGTGTCTGCTTGTACATTGTTATGTTCACAAAACACAGTAAGAACAGAGAACCCAAGCCTTTACAAGCTAAAACTAAAGGGCAATCTCAGAGTTACAACAAGCAGGTTGGATGACTCCCAAACCAGTACAGAATCCAGTGCTACGCCACACCAGTGTTCAAAAAAAAGAATGAGATTTCCTAAAAACTGATCCAATATTTTGGAAGGGCCAGAAGGACTTGATTGCCAACAATCTTTTGACAGTACCCTGGCATGCACCTGTCAAAAACTGAAACTGTGATGACGAGGCAAGCATACTAGACTAATCCGGTCTAGAGCCCCTAAGACTCCTAAGCAGTGTCTATCCGTATTCCTGTAACCTTTGCCAAATCAAGCCGTGTGATAGTCGAAGTAATAATTGCTGAACGTCGTGTCCACATGCTAGAGCTTCAATTGGAACCGTAACGGCAATAATGCATGCGCCCAGAAGTCTCTAACCACATTCGCCCTTGCTAATAAAGACGAGACTTAATTCGATGATCAGCTATACAGTATGAATCCAGTCCCTGGCTGAGTCCAAGTCCAAGCTTCCCAGTACTCCATTTAATGGGAAGTCAAATTTTATCAACTTGTCAGGAATAGAAAATATGTTCTTGCCGGTTATACACAGAGAGAAGACATTCGACGGCTTAGGTCTGCTGCATCCAATTGCGTATTGCCCAAAAGTTCGGCTCCATCAGGTCCTAGCAATCCTACAGAGCGTGGAACAGCAATCTGACTTCCAGACTCCGATTGATTCTCCTTTGTTTGATGCACATACTCGAAGAACTCTGCTACCTGTCTTGCGTACCTTCATCCGGAGTTACATTAGATCAGTTTATGTAAAGTTCAAAATTGAGGCCATCGTGAACAACTTCACAGAAACCTTTCTAGTGACTAAGTACACTAAAAATTACTTGAACTACAGGCAAGTAAGCAAACTTCCTACAAGCGGTAAAAAATACTCTAACCCTCGATGATTATGAGAAAATAAACAATGTCTACGCACCAAATCGACAATCCTGTTACGTTGACTAAAAGCTTTCAACCCAGTTTGTAGGCATCTGAGAGAAGAGAGGGGGTCATACTTCCAAGTTTGAAACAACTTACTCTGTTTTGGCATCGACATCTTTGTTGAAATCAATATTAGTGTCACAGTCCAACATCAAGGCAGGAACCTGCAAATGTAAATTATAACAACGTTTCATCGAATTTAATAAACTTTCATACTCCTCGACAATCATGAGCACTGAAAACCATTACTGCACACGACAGAGAACACCTTCTTGGTAGTAGAAATTGAAGGAGAATCAGAGGGCCATTATGGGTTCTCTTCAACTGTCGACATTGGTATAAGAACAGAAGCAGGCGCACTGACAACAGAAATCTTCAGAGGCACGCTAATGACACTTCGGCGAGTACCTCAGTGGTAGTGACAATTAAATAGAGAGTCACGGAGCAATTTCAAGCTCTCCTCATTTGTTCAATACACATCACTGGTATCCCATCGAAAGCGACAAAACTAAAAATCGATGGACCTCAATAGTAGTGACAGTTGAAGCTAGCATCATTCAACAGTCAAACATGCGTCATATGCTTGATTCAAAACAATCGTCGTAGACACACAAAAATAGCAAGAATCTTTCGTTGCACTCGTTTCATCACCCGTGGCTACACAAAGCAAACATAACTGGAGCAACCTTAAGGGACTATGATACAGAGGGCCACCTTTGGTAACTAAGAAATCATTTGGAGGTAAAGAAAAAAGAAAAAAAGAAAAGAAAAGAAAAGAAAACACTAACCTTTTGAATGCTTGAGTGGACATGGTCACCCTCCAGGTAGAACACCCGATCACGGATTCGAGGTGACATTGGCTCTCTCAGGGCTGGATTGATAGAAAGAATCCCTCCACTGCTCGACTGAACAGGTAAAAGCCATTGCTCGTGTTTTTCATGAAGCCCTTGAAGATACTCAAGACTTACTCCGTTTTCTTCTGGTCTGCATCACATAGAACCCAGCACCATTACCTCGGGAACGATTACACACCAACAAGAGGTTTTAACAAAAATATTTCAAGGCTAGTAAACGACTTAAAAACCGTTAACCCTAAACTTTGAAGTTGCCTACAAAATAAGCAATCGATTTTAGATAAACACATCAAGCCAGTTATGTAAATAGTGTGAAACCAGTTAGACAGGATGAGAACATTGTGACCTTAATAATTCATGGATTTTAAATGTTTACCTCTTTCGAGAATGTAGGCGTTGCATACATGTGTCTGGGCTAGCCCGAAGGTAGATAAAGGCATCAGGAACTAATCCGGGAAGCTCTGACACAACTGGATTAAACCACGAGTCATATATGCTGATTTCCATCTCACTCATCCACTTCGCCTCGTGTACTGCACGAACAAAGACCTGCATCACGAAGTAGAGACATCCATATCAAAAAAGTAGTTTTAAAACAGAAAAAAATTCAAGCGTCCCGAAAAGCATGAAACAACCACGTCATGGAGCTTACCATTCGATCACTGAAGACACTCCGCTCCATCAAACGCAGAGGCTTGATACCATGAGCAGACTCTCGCTCCTGCATTAGACGAGTTACAAATACGTAGTTCTGAAATGTGTATGCATACCGCTCGGGCTCCTTGTAAAACGATTCAAGGATATTGTGATGGTTGGCACCGACATCTTGCCATTTCCCAACAGGTTCGGGCACGATCTGTATGAAAAACCCAGATTCAGGTACATGATGACGACATAAATCAGTGTTATCCCCCACAGGAAGTGAAATATCATGGACATGAAAGAAAAGATTTCACTAGAAAGTGCCGCTGAAGAACAGATTTCAGTTATTGAAAGAGGGAAAAACTATACCTCAACAAGATCTTGCAGCTCAAGAGTTTCACTTGCTATTCTCTGCAGGAATGTAGACTTGCCGACGCTGATATTACCTTCCACACAGAAGGTCAATCGCTTCCTGGGGCGAGATCCTTCGTCTTTAGGAGCAAGCTCAGCCTCCACCTTGTCTCTGATATATTTGGCGATGCTCGCTGCGTGGTGCTTGTGAATGATGCCTACAGAACTCCGCAAGTATTCCACCATCTTCTCCGAGCCATTGTCACGAAACTACACGCAAACTAGCAAGGATAATGAGAAACTCTAATCTCTCTTTGAAAATGTATCACAAAATCAGCTAACGCAACAAGAGTACGAATAAAATAGGAACGGAAGAACACAAACATAAATCTGGCAAGAATTCCATAATATATACCACATATCTTCCCATCAACAGTCTTACACGATAGACAGTACACTGACCTTGTCACGATACAACTGCTTGAGCTCTGATACTTTTACAATTCCCTTCGATACTAACTTCTCCATGTTGCGAATTCCAATCCCGGGAACGGTCAGAAGGTCAGGGAATGCCTCATTTGGATGTCGCGCAACACTTGCTCCAAACGACCGTCTTCTACGTTCTCGCATTCTCTCTGCAACATGAGAATTTTTTCATTTCAGCACGTTTAACACTACGACCCGATAATCGCGCTTGAGTCCAATTAGGACAGCTGTAATGGTATTACATGCGAGTTTATAATTGCAGCATATGCGCGCTATGCGTGTGGATATCTTCATTGCAAATAAGACGTAACACACCTTGTGACAATTCAGTACCACTATCCTTCACATACATGCAGAAAAAGTGACTCGAGAAAATGAACTCCATAAAGTGCATGTCCGGCTACAACATCACGTACTATCAACATTTAATACAGTATGAATTTATCTATGCACACTGGTGAGGGTTAAGATATTACCGCCTGCATCGGTCTCTGCAATAATTGCATCCGTGTTCTTGTGCGCATCAAAATCAGTTTCGACATCCCTATCAGCTTCAGAAGACTCAGCGCCGGTGATATCATGGCGATCTTCGGAAATACTCACCTCATGCACCGCAAGAACACTATATTCTACAGGCTCTCCAGCTTCCGTAGTCGCGATTGCAGCTCCACCAACCTTCTCGGTAGCCTTGAGCGATGTGCAGAAACCTCTACAGAGACTCCCATCTGCATTATACACGGACAAGAACCCTGGGTAGGTGAAATTCTTCCTACCAGAATTGCTCGTCACTCCACCCCAACTCTTGACTAAAGAAGCAGCATGCTTGCTGCGCCTCTGCAACTGCTTACTATTCCCACCATCATAACAGGGTCTTAACAAAACGGCTCGGTCCGCCGGAACAAGCCTCTTTTTAGAAAGACGCGCATCCAACAGCTTCCCCTTCGCAGATATCTGCACCAGCCCTTCCGACGGCAGCACAGAGAAAGATGTCGCTAACGCTCGCCATTGAAACATGGTAGGGGGCATAATACACCTGTATGCCCAAGTATGCAGAGAAATTGGCCGAGGCAGAAGAAGCATTAGGATATCCCGACCATTCTCAACCTCACCAAAGAATACCTGTCCACGCCTCTTGTCACCGCGAAAAATAAACTTCTCCGCAAAAATTGAGTGAATTACTCGACCTTAAACCCTACCATAGCCACATTCACAATGCACCGAAATGATACCACTGCCTACACTTCCGACTTCAACCTCCTCGAAATGCGACCTTGAAATCATTCAAACCACTCCAGCGTCCACGCCCGACAGAAGAGGCCGCAGAAGCAGCAGAAAATCCCATTATCAACAAGAAAGTCGGGCAATCTTAAACCCCAGCGTATAAAGCTTGTTCGCGTGGAAGTGCTCCCGCTGCCGCGTCCCTGTCAACATCACTACGCAGCCAAATCCTTATATCTAGGAATTTGACGATTGTAACAGTACGGGTAGATCTACGTTGATTTGGATTAAAAGATCTGCATTTCGGGTGGATTTTTCGGTACATTAGTGGACAAGGACGGCGGCGGCGGGAGCCTTGCGGCATGGAATAGGGTTTTGAGACGCGTAGAGGAGGACGAGAAAGGAGTCCCAGACCCACCCTACCTGGCTTGGTGACTGACTAACTGACTGACTACTTACTATCTTCTTTGTTGGAATGCATAATCACAACAAAATTAATTAATTCGTGCCAAGTACGTTCATACTACTCAAATATTATAATGCAGCAAAATTGGTCAAAATATTATATTAAAATCTTATAAAATTTTATAATATCCACTAATCCGCATTAAGAATCAACCTCTGACCAACACAATGTAATATGAGTTTTCAAGAATATCAAAACAATGTCTTTATTTGTTTATTTATTTTATGTATGTAAAATTGATTTTAAGGTACCCTTCAACTCAATATTGTTTAAATTAATATCCTTGTGTTTGGAACAATGTATATTTGAGGTGGTTGATTTTCAAAATGACAAGTGTTTTTTTAATAATATTATGAAATGTGATATAAATAATATAATTGGTAATTTTTTTATACTGTAACTATAAAATTGATAAATTTTAAATCACCTACAATCTCTATTTAAGTAAAGTTATACATGAATTTGAAAAGAAATATAAAAATATGAAAATTGTGGCTAGTTCTTAAATTTTGTCAAGGACACAAACACAAAGTATTAAGAAATATGAAAAAAATACTATGTTATATTAGAAGTAAGATTGGAAAATAATAATTAAATTAAATTATTTCAAAAAAAATTTAAGACAAGATTGAGGTATTACTTATCTTGCTCTATTATTTATACTATGGCAACTGACTCAAACAAAACTTACATAAGATGTTCTAAGAACTTTATAATTCTTTAGAAGTTCAAATAAACTTTTGTATAAAATTTTTAGAAGATTATTGAAGGTTTATAAGCTTAAATAATCAATTTAAGTAATTTAATCTAACATGTATTTATGTTATCAATATAAATTTTAAATTTTAAAATAAAACAATATCCAATAGAAATATTTATATTATTTAATAAATTAAATTAAATTAATTGAAGGATGAAATTAAATTTTAATAATTTTTAAAATATAATATTTATTTATTTAATAAAAAATTATATTGTATTATATTATCTTTTTCATTTATAATTTACAAAATACATGTTAGACCAAAATTTAAAAGATGTCAACTGTGACTATTATGTTGGTTAAAAAATCATATTACTTAAAGTTAATTTATAAGTAACTATCCATAATATGACTTGAAGTACAATATATTTTAAATCATGTATTAAACTAATACTAAAATAGAATTTTATTTATTTAAATAATTATTGATATAGTTATTTATTCTAGATATATAAGTAAATAATCATGATTCCTTGATATCATTTATATACCATACTAAAAAAACCACAAAGCTAATTTTGTAATTACCTATAAGTTCAAAAAAGATTCTAAAGTAAATGTACTATCAAGGATATACATATTTATTCCAATAATTATTTATATGATTAGGTAGAAGTAAGTAAAACTAGTTTAATTTCATAATATCTTTTGGAAAAGCTTCTTAGAAGCTTTATAGATGTGATTTTGACTTTACACGTGTTTATAGTTGATTGATAGGTTAGAAACTTGTTCAGCAAATTAATCATGTATCACACGTGTTGGTAGCTTGTAAAAAAAGCTAACTATGTGGCATACATATAGAAAACTTGTTTTGCAAGTTAAGATATGTGTCTTGCAAAGTCAACGTATGTTAGAGGTTTTATTGAATATCACCACATAGCTCCTAATTAGATAGTATATATGGAGGTAAGAATAAAGCCTTCTTCACTCTTGTCAATGCCTTTCTATTCCTTGGTCTTGTTTCAAGACTTTCTACTCTTTTTGTCTTTAGCAATAGCCATTCCAGTTTAATACTATATCATCTTTGAGTGATTTTTTAATCTTTTTGAGTGACACAAGAGTATCTTCATCTTTCAATTTTTCAAGATTCATGTCCTTCATATGTACATACATAAAATCAAATTTTAATAAAATCTTCTATAAATTAACTTCTATAGTATATAAAAGTTCTAAAATCTATAAAATATTCAAAAATATCATGAGATCATGCAAAATTATTCTCAAAGTACCAAAAATATTGTACTTCTATATAACAATTATTTCAGCAATGTATTTAATAAATAATAAAAAAATAAAATTATCTTCTTTAAATATCTTGATAAGATTTAAAATTATAAGTATTTTTTAAAATCTATTTTAATAATAAAATTAGAAAATTAATAAAATAATACTATTAATAAATTAACTCTTAAGTATTTTATTCTAAAATAAGTTCGTCATATTTTAAATTTAGAAAGTTAATAAATTTAAATTTATTTTATTTTATTTTAAAGTGTTAATAATATCTCTTATTTTAAAAGACATCTAATTAATTGTCCATTTTTTTCTTTATTTTTCTACTTCAAATTATCCTAGAAACTAAAGATTTATTATTCAAACTTCATAAGAAAATAGAATTAGATGTTTTAGTTTTAAATAGATGGTTATTATTTGTTTTGGTAATACAAATTTTTAGATGTTGATTGTTATTGTTGATGTGTCTTTTATTGATTAATATAAATAAAATTTATAAAAAAAATAAAATTTAAAAACATATATATATATATATATCATATACATTTAACTCAATGATTGTAATTTTTATTTAATAATAATTTAAAATATTATAAGTAAAAATAAAAAGATAATTTTTACTATTGTTCTATTTTGATAATTATTCTTAACATTTATGTAAAATAGAATAGCAATTCTATTATAATAATTCAAAAACTTTCATTTAATTTGTTTTTACAACTTCATGTTTTATATTTGTATACATAATGTCAATTTAATAAAAAAATTAAAAAATTAAAAAATTTACATTAAACTTAATTAATTTAAAAAATACAAACAAATATTTTTTTACCAAAAATAAAATTGAGATGTAAACTATGTCAAAATGATTTAAGTAGTAACACAATTTGATGCTTGTTCTTTTTAGTTTTTGGTGTTTTAATATTTGTATAAGATAAAATATATAGTTTAGAATAAAACTAAATATTAAAAATATTAATTCAATCTATGAGTATACTGAATTTTTAAAAATCAATATAATAAAATAAAAATGGTTCTACAATTAAATTGCATGGCTCGAGTGTAAAATGTCTAAATAATTTTTAATTTAATTATTTTATAAAATAAATTTTATTCATTTTGAAAAATTAATAAATGATTAGAAATTAAGTAATGTAAAATATATACTTTCTATTGCTTATTTTAAAATAAAAATAAAATTTCTGAATACCAATAAAAATAAAAATAAAATTTCTGAATATCAATAAAAATAAAAATAAAATTACAACAATAATAAGATTGACCAACCAAAAATCTAGTGCATCTCTTACTATTAAAATTATATATATATATATATATATATATATATATATATTAATTTTAAAAAAATTATAAAAAATCTTTTAGATGTTATTTTAATTTAAATATGTATATCCATGACAATGTATTTTATTTCAGAATTTATAAATGGACCAATCAAAACAAAAAATAACTCTTTATAACATCATTGATATTATGCTCAATATAATCGTTATCATTAGAAATTACTGTTCTTAATTTTATTGTAAATATTACGCAATAACTATTATTATGAAGGTCATAAAATAAATATTCTTGTATGTTTTGAGAATTCTAAATTTTACTTTAATATCACATTTTGATAAAAATGCATGTTTTATATTTATTTTATCAATGGTATTTTCTTCATCTAATAACATATGTTTTGTAATTTTCTATATAGGATATATGTTTTATAATATATTAAAAAAATCTTGATTTTTTATGTAAATAATTGAAATATAAATATTATTCATTTGCTATTGCACTTTGATATTATAATAAAAAATAATCAATTTAAGTATTTTTTTAATGCAATAACAAAGTTTTTATAATTTAATTTATTTTATTTTATTGAAAATTTTGGTTTGAAAATTATAATAATTTTTTATTAAAAATTAAATTTGATAGGGTGCAAACTTCTATTTACATTCAAACTTAAAATATTGTTTAGAAAAGGAAATCTTCTAATAGTTTTATGATTATTTAGAAATTATGTTATTTTTAATAATAAAAAATATTATTTTTTCTAAAATTAAATCAAACTACACACTTTAAGGATAAAAAAAAAATTAATCATCAAATTTTGTTTAAAGAGAGACTAATACTTTTAATTGGACATATAACATATATCCAATGTAGTTCTTAAAATTTTAGTTTTATTTTAAGGTTTCTTCTAAATATTTTAGAACATTATAAGGCTTTAGAGTGTTGGATGTTTCCTTAAATATTATTATTACAGCAAGATTATCATTCTCCAATTTTTTTTTATCTTATTCAAAATGTATACATTATAATATATTTTCTATACACACAATACTTTTCCAATCGTCACCAACATTAATGTGCACTTAAAATTTCTTATGAACATTTGAAAATATTATTTGTATATATATAAATTAATTTAAAACTATAAAATTTAATTAAAATATTTGATTTTATTTTTTATCATCAAATATTAGAAATTGGCTTCAAAATTATTTGATTTTAATTTTATAGTTTTTATAGATCAATTTTTTTTGGTTATGCCTTATAATATTGGTAGATTTGTTTACTATTAATAAGTGTCTTTGTAAAGATTTTTTAAGAAAAAAATGGTAAGTTGTTTGCATTATGATGTACACCCTTTTTTTTATGGAATTTAGGATAACTTTTGACAATCTATGGGAATTTTAGCATGTTTGGTGTTTACCTTAGTAGGATCCCAATTGCACATATTGGATATAATTTTAGTAAAATAGC